GTCAATTTAAATAATCACCAGAATCTCTTCTGTAACACATCTTAAAACACTGATGAAAAATTTACAAGTTTTTAAGCAGAAGTACCTTACAATTGATTTTAGAGCAGAATTTCTCTTGCCTTTTTCCCGTCAGAGCACACATAGAAAAAAACTTGCAAAGCACTATGGACTAAGCTGTTGAAGACTTGGATGATTTATAATGGCCTTAGAAAAAGATCTAATGGATTCTTATTACATAGTTAGGATTTTTTAAGTAAAGGGTAGAAAAGTGTGGTAATATTAAATGATTAATTGGATTAAATTTTCCAAATACACATTTTCTTTTAAAAGAGATATCAAGCTTACAGCTTATTGTGAGTTTGGTTATAACCAGTGGGTTTGTTTTGTTTTTTGCAAGACTGAAGTTTGAACTCAGGTCCTCACACCTACTGGGCCAGTATTCAACCACTCAGCACAAGTTTTGTGTTAGAATTTCTCATTACATTTTTTAGTCCAAATTCTTATCCAACTATAAAAAGGGCATGTTTTTTTTTCCTTTCTCATTGACAAACTTCTCATCACAAACTAGAACTTGTACAAATTGGCTTCACTTTTGTTTGTTTCATTGAAGTGTTCATGATAATATAAAACATTTACAGTATGATTGAACTTTTTTACATCAAGAATTTCCAAATAATGAAATGCTTCTTTCAATTTAGTCTTCAGATTAGCATGTTGCAGGCTCTTCTCCGGTTCTTGGATTCAGGCAGGCCACAGAAAGATGCAGGACAAGGTGCAGATGGAGATTGTGTTGATTCACAGCTCTCTGTCCACCCATTCATCACTAACAATAACAACAGCTGAGGCCAGAACCTTACAACACACTGTCCAACAGTGGTGTCATCTCATTGCTACAGCCTTCTAATGGTCTCTGTTTATTCCCTCTCTAGACAACAGTGGTACTTGGCTATGGATGGTTCCCACAAAGTAGACAGAGCATGCACACCCAATCTCAGGGTTACATACAAGGTTACCTAAGGTAGCGCATGACTCAGGGTTACAGGGATATGCTGAATCAGCTGACCCCCCGTCCTTGAGAAGTGCAGGTACAAAGTTCCCTAGAAGAAAAGCCTGATTTACTCCATTTGCCCTGTAAAAGATCACTGACATCCTTGAAATTTCCTCATTTAGCTCCTAACCTCCAGTGTATGGGGAAGAGTAACTTTTGGTAGTGATAGAAAACAGCTTGCTAGAGATGGATTAAAAACGTTCTGTTAAAAACAGGTGGATCCATAGTGGATTCATCATTAACATACAAGTACAGGACAACAGTGTCTATGTGGCCAACCCAAGGTGTCAAACACCTCAGACCTCAGAGCAGAGAGGATGAAGAGCCCACTCCCACCTCCTGTCTCCCACCTTCCTGAACCCAGAATTCCAAAAATCTTCTTTGTTTTAAAGTGTTACTCAGTACTTCATCATGTGTACTTTGTGTATGTACTTTTTGCAGGACACTTCACATTCTGCCAAGCATTCCTCTCCAGGGATTCTGACTAGAGCCACGGCTGAGCACTCAGCACACCACGAGAGGATGGGAATGGTTCATTAGTCTTGCGGAGCATGTCATACACATGGGTTATTTGTTAACATTAACAAATATTAAACCCCAAAAATATGAAAACCCCAGCCCAGCCCAGTGTAGTGACACATACCTGTAATCTCAGCTCACAAGAAGGATAGGCAGGCAGGAGGATCAAATGCTCTAAGCCAGGAGTGGCGCTGTGGCTCAAGTGGTAGAGCGCTAGCCCTGAGCTGAAGAGCTGAGGGACAGCGCCCAGGCCCAGAGTTCAAGCCCCATGACCGACAAAACAACAACAAAAAAAAAAACGCTCTAGGCCAACCTGAACTTCATAGCAAGGCCCTGTCTCCAAAAAACTAAGAACGTAGTTCAGTGGTAGAATTCCTCCCTAGCCTGACTAAGGCTCTATTCTGAGTTCAGCACTAAAGAAAGAAAGGAATGAGGGAAGAAGGAAAGGATGGAGAAAGAGAGGAAAGAAAGGAAGAATGGAAGGAAAGAAGGGAAGGAGGGAGGGCAAGAAAGAAAAGTTCAAAAATAAAAACATAGATCATGACTGGAAAATATGAACAAAATTGTCTTACTTGAGACAAGTGATGATGATGGAAAAATTGTGCATTATGCTATGGGAAAATAATATAAAATACAAGCAAATTAAAGAAAAAGGTAAGTATTTGTAATATGTATGCCCAAAGATGATCACTATTGAGGTTAAAGCAATCATCAGACTTCTGGGTTGGTTTAAATAGGATGTATATACAAGCATCTCTGGTGGCAGGTGTTACACATAAAACCTTGAGCATAAAAACAATAACTGCTGAAATCTGGAAGTTTACAGACTGTGCCAAACAGTATCCAAGTGTTGTAAGTTGGTGAATAGCTGTAAAGTGATAGTAAATTTCATGTCACTATGAAATGCTTACTGCCATCAATTCTCCTGGAATCCATTCTCCATGACCATCCTAGGGAGCTTACGTGTGGACTGTAATATAAAGCAGGATGGAGTTAGTGCTGGTGGCTCATGCATGTAATCCTAGCTACTCAGGAAGCTGAGATCTGAGGATTGCAGTCTGAAGCCAGTTTGGATAGAAAGTCCATAAGACTCTTATCTCCAATTAACCACCAAAAAAGCCAGAAGAGGGGCTGTGGTTCAACTGGTAGAGCACTAACTTTGAGCAAAAAAAGCTCTGGGACAGTGCTTAGGCCCTGAGTTCAAACTCCAGGACCAGCACACACACGAAAAAACCCCAAACAAACAAAAACACAACTCCACAAAAAAAAAAACAAAACTTACCAATAGACCTGTGTAGGATGTGAGCTCTTCAAAAACAGTGAACAGAAAAACTTGACTCAGATCTGAAGACCACCTACTTAGCAGGAGGAAGGCTGAAAGGGTTGAAGGAATAGAGCATCAATGCAGAGGAAAACAGGAACTATAAGCCAAGTGTATGGAGTGAAACTTTTGCATTCTTTTTTTTTTTTTTTTGGTCCAGTCGTGGGGCCTGAACTCTGGCCCAGTCATGGGGCCTGAACTCTGGGCCTGGGCGCTGTCCCTCAGCTCTTCAGCTCAAGGCTAGCGCTCTACCACTTGAGCCACAGTGCCAGTTCCAGCTTTTTTCTTTTTGCTTATGTGGTGCTGAGGAATCGAACCCAGGGCCTCAGGCATACAAGGCAAGCGCTCTACCACTGAGCCACCTTCCCAGCCCCGCATTCTTGACTTTTTATGTTTTCATGTCTGGAGTGTGAACTCTGGACCTTTTGTCTGATCGGGCCTCACTTTTTGCTTGGTACTGCAATCTTCCTGCATCTATCTTCTTCATAACTGAGATAACAGGTGTGAACCTCCACACCTAATTATATGGTAGGTCTCACTAGCTTCTTGCTCAGAGTGGTCTTTGAACAATGAGCCTCCATTTCCATCTCCTAAGTAGCTGGGATTACAGATGTGAGCCACTGCACTGGGCACAAATTAGACTTCTTATGAAACCTTAAATTAGTTATTAGCCTTGCATTCTTCTCCCAATAAAATAACATAAATAAGATAGAATAGGGCACCAAACAGTCTAAGACCACTTTAGTGCCTTATCTTGGGTTTTTTACCTAGGCTATTGTTGGTATAGACCTAAACTTAGATGTAGTATGTTGTTATTTCTCCTCAAGCTAGAAGCTGCAAATGATGGAGCCAGTTCTTTGCCACTAATGCTGTGATAGCAGGTGTTTTCAGCCTACCTTTTCACACTGAAGGTCCCTTGGAGAGGTCCAAGGTTAGTCTAGAAAAGGTGTCATTTAATTAAGCCACTTGCTTGTGGACCAAGCCCTGGTCTTTTCCTTCCTTGCCTGGATATTGGTCTCCCAGGATTCTAGATTCTGCTACCTTCATTTTCTCCCAGGTCAGCCCTAAATTTTTCCTTTGCTCACTCTTCTGGAATGTGCTTCATTTACTTCACCTGGCCTTTGATGATTCCTTTCACTTTTGTGCCTGCAAATTGAGGATGTTACTGAGATCTGCCTGGCATTTAGGGATTTTTGAAGTCAGAGGGTCAGAGTCCATCTTTGACTCTTTCTCTCTCTTTAATAAAAACAGAATTATTTAGCTGGGTGCCAGTGGCTTATGCTTATAAATCCTAACTACTCAGGAAACTGAGATCTGAGGATCTCCATTCAGAGCCACTGAGCAGACAAATCTATGAGTCTCTTATCTCCAATTAACCAGCCAAAAGCCAGAAGTGGAGGTGTGGCTCAAGTGGTAGAGTGCCAGCCTTGAAGGGAAAAAGCTGAATGAGGCACAGCAGCGCCAAAACAAACAATAAAATACAAACAGCATTATTTAATCTGGCTTATTTGTACATGGAATTGTATACCATCTATAAGTTGTCATGTTTTGTTTTCATACATCTTGGAAGTTTCCATATGACAATGTTCATTCTCTTCCAATTAGAGTAGATAGCAATACACAGAAAGAGAGCTGTTTAATAGTTATTTTTCTTTGGAAAGGATTTATAGAGTCAATTTTGCTACAATTCTTACCCAGCCTAGTAAGAGATAACGTGACATTGGAAAGATGTTCATAACACAGCATTGCCTAAATAAGCTGCTCTTTGAAGGCCCATCTTTTATTTATACAAACACACATGTTTAGCTTGATAAAATTCTGGAAGAAGCCATCCAGTATTTTGGGTTGGTATGACTAAGGAGTATTTTTGCTTACTTGTGTTGATTTCTACTTTTTAAGTACTGTGTGTTTTCTTAAGGTCAGAATTATTTACAACAACAACAACAAAAGGGAATAGTAATACGTGTTTTACAATTGACCCATCATATGGTTTGAATATATTTTCCCCCAAATGAGAAGTGTCAGAGACCCGGCGACTTTCTGCAACTTTGTGTTGTCATCTTAGGATTCAAGGACTTGTCTTTTCTTTTTTTCTCTCCTACACATAGGTCAAGCAATCAATGCCTCAGACAGACAAGCAAATATGCATCCCACCCGAGCTGCCCGAGCTGCTGAAGCAGTTTACCAAAGCTGCCATCCGGACCCAGCCTCAGGATCTCATCCAGTGGGCGGCCGAGTACGTGTTTCTTCACTTTCAGGCTCCTGGGAGGGCAGGGGTGAGGAGAAGGGAGCGCATGGAAAACTAAGAGGTCCTCATGGCTGCATGGAGCCCAGGCTTATTAGCATCATCTTTGTGATTTTCAGCTATTTGATGAGACAGAGCCAGGGTGCCATGTCCTTCCCTAAGTGAGCCAAAGTGAGCAGCAAGACACCAGGGCAATAGGCCAAGTGTCTTGAGGCCAGGGTGGATTAGCATGTTCCATCAACACGTACCCACCTACCACCCTGAGTCCTATCTGGGACGGCAGCTCCTCCCGGTTTAAATGTACACACCTCGTTCTCCCATCTCACCACCAGATGGCAGCAGTGCACCTGGAGGGTGGCCATGGGGCAGCCCTTGGGATAGAAGAGGTGGCATCACCCCAGCAAACTGGCTCGCTGCTTTAATGAGACACCTTCCTCCAAGGCTGTGAAAACTCATGTTTCCCTCAAACACACTGCATTTCTTGCCTTCGGGGAAACAGACTATTGTTTTCCTTAGTGTTTCTTTGAACAGTTCTGAACATGAAGATTTCTAGCAACCTGGACAAGGAGGCAGAGTTGAGTGAGGAGGCCAGGCCTGGATATACACTGCATGCCTCCAGCCGGGTGCTGCTTCCCAGAGACCCCCCACAGGCTGCTCAGTCATGGGCCTGCACACCAATTGCTGGCCTGCATTGCGGTAGATTTACACAGAAAGCCCCTCCATTGTGAAACTGCTTCTTATACAAACTAGCTAGTAACTTAAAACTGGGTAACCAGCCTTGGGACAGGAGTTGGGAATTGAGTAGACCTGGATCTTTTGTGGATGTTTTTATGGTTGGATGATTACCCTTTCAGCAGTGCTTCAAGGAGAAGGGGGAAGAAAAGGGGAGAAGTAAGGGTTGGGGAAGAGGGTGACCTCAGCCTGAGGTGTGAGTAGGAAAAAGCTGTTAACCCTTTGCAGAAGACACAAAATGCCATCGAAGTGGGGTTAACAGTCTCTAGATCAAGGCTCTGGTGCTTTTGTGCTGTGCAAAGGAAAAAAAAAACCCTATTACAAATGGAAGGAAAGTAAGCTATTGTGCTCTAAGAAGGCACAAATGTAGTTGCTTTACCTAATCATGAATCTTGTGCAGTTTTCTAAATTTTATACATTACCTCGAAGATTGGACTTTAACAGCAGAAGACTAATTCATTTTGGCACACTCAGACAGACTTTGTTTTATACTAGATGATAGTTTACAGCTCCGTTTTATTGTTCTTGTGCTACTGCATTATAGTAAGAAAAATGGCATTTCTTCATATTGTCCTTGACATTTATGGAAGAAAACATTCCATTATTGTAGCCTACTTGCTCCATATTGTATGATGTGCTATAAATTTTTCAGACATCCATGAAAGATCAGTTTGTACTTTAACTACAATGAAAAAGAGCGTGACCTAAGAACACTCTCCAGCCTATTGAGACATCCAAAGCACTTATCAGATTGTTTTATGTGACTTACAAACTTGTAGCCTTTCAGAGAATAAAACTCCACAAGTATATCCAAGACAAAATGTGTATTCATTGCAAGCAAGAATTTTCCTACATATATCCTGTCAACAAAGAGTTCACCTTCCAGGCATCTGCAGGACATAGACCTATTAGTTCTTCAAGTAGATATATGTGAATTACTATTGTTAATGCCATGGAATTGCTTGTCGCCAAGGGAGCTCAAAGACCCAGAGGACTGAATCCATGACAATACCTTTCAGTCTGTGTTTTCTAACCAATTCTACAAAGTTTCTTCACCTGGGTAGTCACTTTGATAGAATGAGGGGGCTATGATGTCACTGTCTCAACCATTGATATCACCCACATCTGGTTACAAAGCCTGAGGCTACATCCCCTCCAGTGGTCACACTGCGCCCACCTTCACCCCAACTAAGCTATCTGCAGATATTTCTTAGGGATTTTGTCAAAGGTGCCCTTAGATGATTTCCTCTGCCTTCTTGCTGATCCACTTCCAAGGGGAAATTGGAACGTACTGATTGCTTTGTCTTAGGCAATAATTAGTTCTACTGTGAGCCTTTATTAAAAAAAAAAAAACCTTCCTATATTCTTCTTATACTGTTTGGCTCTAGAGAAAGTAATGGTGTGGTGGTGGTGTGTGTGTGTGTGTGTGTGTGTGTTTTCAGGGACAGGCAGAAGTTTGTGATTCAGATATAGTTACAAGACATTTGATGGAAAACAGAGCCTGTCACACACCATTGACCACCCACAAGCCAATTGCTTGTGTCCATCCCCCGCTTCAGGCAGCCTCTGTGCATTTCATGCCAATCCTGAAGTAAGATTGTCTGTCTTGTACATTGCTCTGCAACGGCTCACCCCACAACATGGGCAGCAAGCTTGGTTTGCTGACAGTCTTAGGGAATAGCAAGGTTTTGAATCATATGTACCCTATAAAGTTGTTTCCAGCCTTTGTTGGCTTGTCTTCATTCCCAAGCTTCCCTTGATGTCCTGACAGTCTTCAGTCTTCCTTGCTGAAGCCCCGGGACTCACGACCTCAAGCCAGGAAACCTTCCTCACCCCCAAAGCACTTCCACCCCTCCCCTTCTCCTGTAAGTCATTTCAATTCTCTCCCAACTTCTCTTCCCCACCCACTGCCTAATACCAAGCACACACATACATATGTATATATCTTATTTATAGCTTAGGATATGTATGTCTTTCTGCATATATATATATGCATACATATATTGCTTAGGAGGGATGACTGGAAAAAAATAAAACAAAATCTAGCTAAATATGGCCAAGGAAAAGTGCAAGTGCATACTAAACTTCTGTTGGTTGTTCCTCATCTTTAGAGAGGAATAACTTTATCTCCTAAGTAGTCTCTGTTCCTTAATTGGAAAGTAACACAATCAGAACTTTTCCCATATGCAAATGAAACTAAACACAGTATCTAATCACTTGACAAATGTTCTTTCCTCTCTTCATTTCTTCAACAAAAGGGGAGGGGATCCTTAAAGCAGCCAGAAGCCACTCAAGTATAGGACAGTCCCCCACTCACAGACTTTTTTTTTGCAGGTATTTTGGGGCCATGTCCCGTGGAGAGATTCCTCCTGTGAGAGAGAGATCTGAGCGAGTCGCTTTGTCCAACTGGGCAGAGCTAACACCTGAGCTCTTAAAGGTCTTGCACTCTCGGGTAAGAAACATGGTGGGGATGTCACTGAGGCCAGTGGGGTACAAAGGTCATCTGTCACTCTGGCAATCAGGGAGATAGAGGCTAGAGGGTGGGCTTCCCTCAGACCACCATAGAGCCCTCAGACTTGTGGGATACCCAGGAGCTCAGTGAAATGCTTAAAAGTATAGTCTGCTGTCTCTCCATTATGATAGCATCTTCCTGATGCTATCAAGACCCTGCAGTGAAGCCAATTGCAGTCAGGAGGGAATATACTGTAGTTTCCCAGGTACAGACACACTCTCACTTCCTGCATCCTCAGCTTTCATCATCCTAGTAGTTTCCCTGTGAAGGGAAGAGGAGGGACTGGCTTTTCAGATATCTGTGGTTTGGTCAATTCCCAGGAAACCTAGATAAGCATCACTGTTCCCTGAATTAGGACAGAGGGGCTTTGGGGATGATTCAGAACTTGAATTTCCTAACTACCTCAGTTCTAGAGGCTTATCATTTCATTAGGATGAGAGGGAGTCAGGTGCCTGTAGCTCATAGCTCTAATCCTGGCTAGTAGAAGGATGGGATCTGGGGATCAAGATTTGAAGCCAGCCTGGTGAGGAAAGTGTAATTAACCACTGAAATATGTGAAGGGCAGCTATGGCTCATGTGGAGAACATTAAGCTTGAACAATAAAAGCTAAGGGACAGTGTCCAAGTCTTGAGTTCAAGTCCGAGTACTGGTGCACATACACAGGAATCAGAGCTTGGGAAGGTGTTGGGGAACTTCACTGGAGCATCTGCACCTTCACTGAATCATTGGCCAACAACCAGCTCCTCCTCTGAGCTATCAAGTGACCCCTGTGCAGAGGACAAGGTGGAGTTCTAAAGTGCCTGGGAGCAGAGAGCATTAGACATGCAGACTAAACCCCTATTGGTCAGCCATGTACCTCGCATCATCTTTGGGAAATGGGAGGGATGCACTTGAAATCTAGAGGGAAGAACTCAATGAAGTGTGGAAGCAAAATAGCAATGTCCTGCTCACTCCACTACCCACTAGTGGTATCAGGAAAGTCTTCTGCGTGCTGCTTCTGTTTTCAGGCTATCTTGTCTGTATTATGCAGAGAAGCAAGGACTAAAACCAGAGAGCATACATATATCAGTAAAAAAATAACCAACAAAAACAACTTAGATATAGCATAAGCCAAGCACTATGGCTCATACCTATAATCCTAGCTACTCAGGAGGCCTTGAGATCAGTGAGGATTGAGATTTTAAGCCAGCCAGAGCAGAAAAGTTTGAGAGATTCTTATATGTTAACCACCCAAAAGCCAGAAGTGAATGACAATATGGATCAAGTAGCAGAGTGCTAGCCTCAGGCAGACAAAAGAAAAAAAGAAAAAGTAGAAAGCCCTAAGTTCAAGCCCCAGTACCAGCACTGAATAAAATAAATGTAGTATAAACATATATATCCCTCATTTTTGACATCTGGAATTATTAAGTTATCACTAGATCTTGAAAAAACAACTGCCAAACAAGGTCTTCTGACCTCCCTAATACCTCCCACTCCTGTCTTTGTGCTGGAAGAAGTTGGGGCATCTGTTGTCCTCTCCATCTTCTGTGCTGTGTCTGTCCCTTGCCTGCAGGTTGCTGGCAGACTGATCATCCATGCAGATGAGCTGTCCCAGATGTGGAAGGTGCTGAATCTCCCAACAGATTTATTCAACAGTGTGATGAACGTGGGTCGCTTCACGGAGGAGATTGAGTGGCTGAAGTTTTTGGCTCTTGCTTGTAGCTCTCTTGGAGTTGTAAGTTAACTTTTTTAAAAAATGAATTTAGTTCCTTAGGAGAAAACCCGTGTCTAGGCTTGGAAAGGGCACTCTGTCTATATACACAGTCAAGGATATGTCTTCTTCGAATCTTCTCCTCTCTGAATTAAGGTCATTTCTGTGCTCATCAGCTGAAAGTAGGAATGAGAGAGAGAGAGACAGACAAGACAGACAGAGACAAAGAGAGAGAGAGACAGAGAATATTATTACTTGGCTCTGGGGAGTTGGCCAAAGTATGGATTTTGGATTCTTTATGAATTTCAATCTTTGCCCTCAAGTTTATTTTCACTTGACCTCAACTCTTTTCTTTATAATTCCTGGAGATAACGAAGAGTCAGTGCTAGAACAATGCTTGCTTGGTTTGGGATGGAGACTTTTAAAACTGATGGAGGGGTTGGGAAGGTGGCTCAGTGGTAGAGTGCTTGCTTCACATGCATGAGGCCCTGGGTTTGATTCCTCAGCACCACATAAACAGAAGAAAAAAAAAGTGGGAGAGCACTTGCCTTGAGCTGAAGAGCTGAGGGACAGCACGTAGGCTCAGAGTTCAAGCCCCACAACCAACCAAAAAACAAAAAAAAAAACCAACCATGATAAACATAATTGAATGCAAGAACAGAGATAATAGAAAAGCAAGCAGACAGATGAAGTTGTTTCTAGAATTGCAATCATGACATCACCATGGCTGCAGGATGTTCATACAAATTCATGCCTTTCTCAAATGTATCTTACTTGACAACTGGAAAAACCATTTGTCTGTTTTGAAGAGAAAGACGCTGAAAGCTGCCTTTCCATATGTTTAAAACCTGGGTGCATGTTATGTGGACTCCCTCTTGTTAATCACTGTGATAATAACTTATATGGACACAATCAGAAATAGGATTTTTTCAATCTCTGAAATTCAAACAAGTTTAACAATTACTGAGGACAAAATGTTGCCTCTGTAGCACAGGATATGAAAAGGGAGTTTGAATTATTCAGCATATCCAAATATGATCTTCTTTCTTCTTGAATATGCTTGAGACACATAGTTGGAATTTTTTGTTGCGGAGTAAATTCAGAAGAAATGGTGTAATCTCATAGGATTACAGCTTTTCCTATGTGTCTCCTGCATCCACCATAACCATTTTTTTAAGAGAAGGAAAGAAGAAACTTATTTTGTGTCTTCATTGTTATAGCTTTGTATAATGAGTAAATTACAGTCCTCCAAAGAGGAGAGGAAACCATAGTAGAGGTGAATGAACTGTCTGTAAGGATTGAGCTTACTTCTGAGAAGAAAAATAAAATCTCAAGGTTTCTCAAAAGGGAAAATAAAACCCTGGCATAGTCCATTAACTTGTCTACAAGTTATTCATACCACATTTAGAGATTTTTCAAAGGGAAAACCTGCCTCTTAATTGCATTTGTAGGAAATAGACCTCCATCTACAAAGGGTAAGTAGATAGGCTCCAATTCAGGAAGTCAGTCTGGACAGAAACTCCTCCAGGTAAATGCCCTTCCCTCCTCAATACTCCTTCAGGGGACAATTGAGTGTTTAGGGAAAGGGAAGATCTTAGTCTTCAAAGCAGCCAATATCAGGGCTCCCACATACCTTGGTTCTCTCCAGAACCTCTGGTTTCCTTTCAGTGCTGCTGTGCTGCCCAAGCTGTGAAGGAGTTGAATGTCCCAACATATTTAACAGATCAAAGCATGGTGAATGGTTCATCTCTGGTCTCAATGACACTGGGACCCCAGGAGTCGGGGCCACGTTGTCATCTGTTCTCTGGCTTTGGTGGTCTACTTCAAAGCTCCCCACCACTTTTGAGGTGTTTGAGATGTCTGAGTTATCCCCTTTGTCCCATAGCTAAGTGTGATTTTGGAAAGCCAAACTGCGGTCTCCTTAGAATACTGTGTAGTTGCTAGGTTTGTTCTGTTTGTTTCCCAGGTTGGGGAGGAAACTGTGACATGAGCTGTAGCCTTCTTCTAAACTAAAGAGATTGAATCGATGTTCCATGGGGTCTCTGCTTCTGAGATACCCTCGTGCCTCCCACTGGAGAGAGTCAATTCTGAGAGACCCTGAGATAGCTGACTTTCCCCTCACCCTCCCTGGCAAAGAACACCTAGAGGTCAAGTCAGCCTGGCTGTCTACTCTGGTTTTTTGGTTGTTGTTTTTCAAAACAAAAAACAAAAACACTAGGAACCAGTAAGAGGAGAGAGGTAGTTTGGCTTACCTGGGATAACTCTGGACTAAGGGACAAAGATATAACCCAGACATCTCAAACTACCCAAAGTAGTGAAGGGCTGTGAAATGGGCCACCAAAGCCAGGGAGCAGATGACAGTGTGGCCCAGACTCCTGGGGCCCCAGCGCCATTGAGACCAGAGATGAGCCAGTGGGAAGCATCATGTCACATTGTTTCTGGGAGCTTGGGTGTGGGGTTGTGTCACCTCCAAATTCATATATTGGAACCTAACCCCAAGGTGACAATATTAGGAGTGTAGGGTCTTGGAGAAATGATGAGCTCATGTGGGTAGAGCCCTTCTAAATTCTCAGAAAGGACTGAGGGAGCCTGTTTAGCCCTTCCATTGAGAGGACAGAGCAAGAGGACACCACCATTTATGAAGAAGGCTCCTGGCGTTTTAACCTGCTAGTACCATGATCCTAGATTTCCCAACCTCCAGAACTGTGAGCAGTAAATTTCTACTATTTATAAATTATTGAGTCAAGGATATTTTGTTTTAGCAGGCCAAACAAGCTAATAGACAAAAGGTATCAACATGTACTGAAGGCCTTGCTTTCAATTAAATCCACATGTCCTTGGAGACAAGCCCAGGATTTTCTCTCTCCTTTATAAGCAAACCATGATCTTTTGACATCTAGAAAAGCACTTTGCTTCTTGTGGAAAGCCTAATTCCAGTAACAGGAGCATTTGTCTCCAGTTTTGAGCCCTCTGGGTCTAACGTGTGGTTCTGAATAGTATGGCGGACAGATCTATGATCCTCTCCTCTTTCAGCATTTCATCCTCCAGGCTGCCGGTGTCATCCCGTTTCCCACTGAAATTAGTTATAAAACTGAAAAGAGCATGTATTGGATAAATAATTGTGTTTGCCTAAAAGGTTGATAAATATTTTGTTAGCAAAAGTTTTTGTCCTTATTTTCCTTGTTAATGTTGTTTTTACATTTTTTTATTAAAAGGTAATATACAGAGAGGTTACAGTTTCATTAGTCAGATAATGAGTACATTTCTTTTTAGATAATGTCACCCCTTCCCTCACTCCCAGTTTTTCCCTCCTGTTCCCAGCCACAAGTTGTGTAGTTCATTTTCAACATAGTGTCTAGTGAGTACCATTGCTGTATTTGTTCACCTTTTGTCCCTCCATTTCTCTGCCCCCCTTGCCTTCCCAAAAACAGATGGATGAACAACCAAGACAAAAACAAAAAAAAAGAGCAACAAAAAACCTCTTGTTTCTAATTCCTGGAGTTCATTTTTGTAAATATTATTTTATATGATCAGAGGCAAATAGGTATTTTGCCTTTGTGTTCCTCTCCTAAGAGTATCCTCCTTTGGGTTAATGTTGTTTTAATGAGACAAGGTCTTATCACTAACATAGACTAGCCTAGAACTTGGGCTCCTCCTGCCTCAGCCTCCTGGGTGTTGTTAATTATAAGTATGTACCACTAGACCCAGCTCACAATTCATTTTTTGAGGCTTGTAAGATGTCCAAAGCTACCTCTGTAAAGGGGATCTTCATCTGACAAAAAAAAATCTAGGAGAAGAAAATAAAGATCATTTCACTTTCTGTTTGAATTTATCAAAATGTTCCAGTTCTTAGAGTTCTTTACCCATTCAGCTATTTAGTAAATCTTTAAAAATATTTCATAATGCTTTTTTCCTTTGGAACAATATTAGGATTTGAACTCAGGGCCTCATGCTTCCTAGGCAGGTGTTTTACCACATAAGCCACGCCACCAGCTCATCTTTGTATTAGTTATTTTACAGGTAAAGTATCACTTTATGCTCTGACCTGGACTGTAGTCCTCCTATTTGTGCTTTCCCTGAGTTGAAGCCCCAGGACTGGCACCCACACAGAAAGGTCTTGCCTCTAAATAGAATCACATTCTCAGTCTTGAACGTTTGGCCTCAAAAAATGAGAGGGGGGGGGGTGTTTGGTCCATAACAACACCCAGGAAAGAGGAAAATGGAATAAAGGAAGTGCTGAAAAGGTTGCAGAGTATTTTAGAGAAGCAGTGAAAAAGTGTTAGGTGCACAAACTCATCTTGTAAGTCTCCCAAACCACTCGTGGAGTGACTACATCTCACATTCAGACCTTCCCTCCCTTCCTGACAGCTGTGGGCTATTTTCTCATGCCCTCTGACTTAAATGCTGTACCTGTAATTATGCCCTATACAGTGCTCTCATAATTCTTCCCATGTGAGGACCCCCAAGGAAGTGGCTTGCGATAAATCCTAAATTTCCTTAACTTTGTGTGGGTTATCTTTTCTTTCTTTCTTTTTTTTTGGTCAGAGATTGTGACTCAAACACAGTATCTGACATGTTCATTCATTGGCTGATGTTCTACCAACCCCTGGTTTATCGTGCGTGTGTGTGTGTGTGTGTGTGTGTGTGTGTGTGTGTGTGTGCATGTTCATATGTGTATCCCAGTCCTGGGGCTCAAGCCCTAGGTGTTATCCCTGAGTTATTTTTCACAAGGCTAGCACTCTATAACTTGAGCCACAAATCTACATTTTTTTTTGGTGGTTAATTGAAGATGAGTCTCACAGACATTTTTACCTGGACTGGCTTTGAACTGACTGCAATCCTCAAATTTCAGCCTTCTGAGTAGCTAGGATTATAGGTGTGAGCCACCAGTACCCATTTGAAAATGACTGTCAAGATTCTATTTCATATAATAGCAATGCTAAGAGGAAATAAAATTAGAATAACTTAATAATTATTAACAGATGCAAGTAATGCTTAAATTCATTGCCATCAAAAAATAGTCGCTTCAGAAAATGATGGGCCAAGTTTATTCACATCTTCATATGCCTCCTGACACACAGACTGCCAGCTCTGCATGACACACACCAGTGAACTCCCTATAGACACTCCTTATCGTCAGGGAGACGATGACAGCAGAACAGTGATCACCTGTCAGGGAACACGGACCAGCCTCCGGCCAGTCATGTATGAGATGCACAACTGCTTGTTCAGTCACCTAGTCACACCTAGCTGGCCACTCAGGACTGTTTTCACAGATCCCTGGAGGGTGTGTGTGCAATCTGTACATTGTCAGTTTCAGCAAACCATGAAGAAATACATGCTGACCTATCTGCTAATTCAGAGCCAGTCTTTTCCTTGAATTATTCCTTTTCTGTAGCCTATCATTTCATAACCCTTTCACTCATGAAATTTATGCAAAGATTTTATATTTATTTAAAGACAGGATCAGCTCTGAAGACCACTGATGTTCAAGTTTCATTGGAAAGATAAAATCTTTCCTCTCTTCCCTCCCTTCATCCCCTTCTTTCCTTCCCTCCTCCTTGCTTCTTCCTCTATCTCTTTCTTAGGGTTTCTCCATGTTGAGTACATGCCTGCACAACCCCCTCGAGTACCCCTTCTATTATTAAAACTTGTGACATTCATCTGTCAGTGTTAACAGAACAAGAAGTACTAAATGATTTTACTTAGGTGCATCCCCATACAGAAGAATTTTGTTTGTTTTTGCTTTTCCTATAGCTTAAACCCAGGGCTTGGACACTGACTCTCAACTCTTTATTCAAGGCTAGTGCTCTACCACTTGAGTCATAGCTCCACTTCTGGCTTTTTCATAGTTACTTTGAGATAAGAGTCTCACAGACTTTCTTGCCCAGATTACCATCCAATCATGATCCTCAGATCTCAGCCTCCTGAATAGGTAGGATTACAGGCCCCACTGGCACCCTTCAAAAATGGGTTTATCTTCTTGTTTGGTACCATTTTTCCAGCATCTGCAACCATAATCTTCCTTCTTGTACCCTCCTTTCCCCTACTGTAGCTTTGCCTGAAATATCTTGCTGGAATATATGTTAGATGAATAACCTTAACTCCTTAGAGATAAGATTGGAGGGCACTAATAACAAATAATTTAATTTCATAGAAATAAGCATTTTAATAATTATAATTTTATATTAATGTAAAATCAATTCTTTATTGAGGTTACTCTGATTAAACCAAAAGATTTAGAAAATTTTAATAAAAATACCTAGCAATTTATAAATGTATTTTTTTATTGGAAGAGGTGGGGAGGAATAGTGAAAAAGGTGACATTAAGATGTATTGTTCTCATAATCTGACTTGTGGAATTGAAACCCTTCTGTACAACTACTTAAAAATAAATATTTTTTAAAAGATTCATTATACTGACAAACATATTTTGAACTGAAACTCCTTTGTACAACTACCTAAGGATAATCTATCTTTCTTTCTTTCCTATTTTCTTTCTTTTTTTCCTTCCTTCCTTCCTTCCTTTCTCTCTTTCTTTCTTTCTTTCCTTCTTTCTTCCTTTTCTTTTCTTTTTTGCCAACCTTGGAGCTTGAACTCAGGGCCTGGGCTCTGCTCCTGAGCTCTGTGTTCAAGGCTAGCTCTCTACCACTTGAGCCACGGTGCCACTTCTGGATTTTTCTGTTCATGTGGTACTGAGGAATTAAACCCAGGGCTTCATGCATGCTAGGCAAGCACTCTACCACTGAGCCACCTTCCCTATCCCACCTAAGGATAATTTTTAAGGCCTCAAAAATATAAATTTATCTATTTGAGCCAGACATCATTGACTCTTACCTATAATCCTAGCTACCAGGAGGCTCATATCTGAGGATCATAGTTTAAAGCCCACCTGAGCAGAAAAGTTCATGAAACTCCTATCTCTGATTAACTACCAAAAAGCTCCAGAAGTGGAGCTGTGGCTCAAGTGGTAGAGTGCTAACCTTGAGCAAAGAAAACTCAGGGGACAACTCCCAGGTCCTGAGTTCAAGCCCAGGTCCAGAACCAATAAAATAATAATTTGTCTTTTTGAGCCCTTCAATAAAGAAAAAAGATAACTCATAGTCAATGGTTGTAGAATAAATTAACTTTTTAAGTTAACTTTATGCTTTCTAGAATTTTAAATCGGAACTGGCGCTGTGGCTCAAGTGGCAGAGCACTCACCTTGAGCTGAAGAGCGCAAGGCAGTGCCCAAGACCAGAGTTCAAGCCCCAGGATCAACCAAAAAAAGTAGAAGAAATCTAGAATTTTAAATCATTCTCACTTCATTTTATATTTCTGTTTTCTTTCTTTTATCTGAACTGATTTCAGGGAAGAGTGAATTTCTACTCATTTTATCTTATGATTTTATAGACCATTGCGAAAACTCTCAAGATAGTGTGTGAAGTTTTGTCCTGTGACCATGATGGAGGACCTCCTCGGATCCCTTTCAGCACCTTCCAGTTTCTCTACACATACATTGCAGAAGTAGATGGGGAAATCTCTGCATCCCATGTCAGCAGAATGCTAAACTACATCGAACATGAAGTGTGAGTCAACTTTTAGCCATTAGGGGAGAAAGTATTCTACAGATAATCCCCAATTTAAGTTGATTTGACCTACAACTTTCCAGTTTTACAGCAGTACAAAGACATCCGTTCAGTAGATATTTTCAAATGTGTGTGTGTGTGTGCGCGCGTGTGCATGCGCGCGTGTGTGCGCACACACACACACACACGCCAATCCTAAGGCTTGAACTCAGGGCATGGGCATCGTCCCTGAGCTGCTTCTCTCAAGACTAGCACTAACACTGGAGCCATAGTTCCATTTTGGCTTTTTCTGAGTAGTTTATTGGAGATAAGAGTCTCATTGACTTTCCTGCCTGGATTGGTTTTGGACTGTGACCCTCAGATCTCTGCCTTGTGAGTAGCTAGGATTAAAGGCACAAGCCACCAATGTTGGGCTCCAGTTTTAATTTAGTCATTTTCTGTGCCAATGACATTCAGTTCAATAATCTCTTGAGATGCTGATTTCAGCCGAGAAGCACAGTTCCCACTCTAAGCTAGGACAAGTATAGGAAATGCATTTTCAATTTGTATTTTTAAATTGTATATCTGGCCATTACTCCATTGCTAAGTCAAGGAGAATTTGTATGCTTTAGTGTTCTAGAAACATAAAAATTGTGAGAAACATTAAATATGAAAAGGAGTAGGATATCAAGAGTTAAGTGGAAAAAATGAAAAGGCCAGGTAATCCCAGAAACTTGGGAGGTAGAGATCAGAAGAATCCCAATCAAGGCCAGCATAGGCAAAAAGTGAGATCTCATCTCAACAAACAAGCTGAACATAAAGGATTATGGTTCCAATGTGGCCAAGACAAAACGTGAGACTCTATCTGAAAAATAACTTAAAGCATAAAAGGCTGCAAACATGGCTCAAGCTTAGATTCAAACCCCAGTACTATCACAAATCAACTAATTTAGAACGAGCAAGTTCTTTATATAAGATTCTTTACTTAAGATTACTTGTTAACCAAACTAATCTCAGGTATTTATTTTTCCAAACAGAATTGGTCCTGACGGTTTGATCAAGGTGAATGACTTTACCCAAAACCCCAGGGTTCGGCTGGAATAAAAGCAGTTTGGGCAATTTTACAGGAAGATACAGAGATGATGTACTTCAGAATGGCTGAAGCCACACACCATCCAGTCAATTTTCTTGTACAACTGTACACACTAATAAACAATTAGGCAAACGTAGGAAACCAAAAATGTGTGGAATGAAGATAATAAATTGTGGCACAAGGAACCTGCATTACCAGAAGGTTACAATTCATCTCATGCAGATTTTGAGTAACAGCAAGTACACAGCATGGCCGCATTCAGGCCAGAGCCAGACTTAAGGATTGTAAAAAGGAGAATGCTTTTTAGAGGGGAGACATTTTTTATCTTTTTGTGACTCGTAGTTATAATTTAGACCAGTACCTCTTACGTGAGCAATCAAGTTTTTAACAGTTTATTGTTCTATTTATCAGAACTATGCTAGTCATTCATTCATTCACTTACTCAACTTACTCATCAATATTTATTGAGGTTAGTCATATGCCAGATATAGAGTTGCCAGACAAAATACAGAACACCCAATGAACTGATCTTATGAAGTTAGTGTTGTTACCTCCAGTTTACAGAATAAAAAAAACTTAGAGAAATTAAGTTATTCAACATCACTGGTTAAAAAAAAAGTATCTGAGCTGGGTGCTATTACTGCTGAGGAACTCTTGGAGACAGAGTAGAACCAGTCTCACAGCTACCCCAGTCTGATAGGTAAGGAAGCTCTTCTGCATTTCTTGTTTGGCCTTCCTCTTTTTGCTCCAGAAAATGATCTCAGGCAGGAAGTCATGAGTAGATCTGATAAAGAGCCACTGGCATATGCCACTGTACCTTACAGAGATTTTAAACTATGTGTGTGTGTGTGTGTGTGTGTGTGTGTGTGTGTGTGTGTGTATGTATGTAATTTTTATTTTTATTTTTTTTGCTGGGCTTGTGGCTTGTGGCTTAAACTCAGGACCTGGATGCTGTCCCTGAGCCTCTTTGTGTTCAAGGCTAGTGCTCTACCACTAGAATCACAGTACCCCGTTTGGCTTTTTCTAAGTAGTTTGTTGAAGTAGGAGTCTCACAGACTCTTCTCCCTGGGCTGGCTTCAAACTGTGATCCTCAGATCTCTCAGCCTTCTCAGTAGCTAGGATTATAGGCATGAGCTGTTTGTGTATTTATTTATTTTGGGTCGGTTGTGGGGCTTGAACTCTGGGCCTGGGCGCTGTCCCTGAGCTCTTTAGCTCAAGGCAAGTGCTCTACCACTTGAGCCACAGCGCCACTGCTGGTTTTCTGGTGGTTAATTGGAGATCAGAGTCTCCTGGACGTTCCTGCCCAGGCTTTCTTTGAAGTGTGAGCCTCAGACTTTAGCCTCCTTAGTAACTAGGATTATAAGCCTAAGCCACTGTCTCTCAGCCTGCTTCAATATTATTTATCATTCATTATTGCTTTTGACTCAGGTACAAGTCCATGTGTGCTTTAGGCAACAAGGGACTGACATGGTGATATACTAAAATTCATACCTGACCCACAAACCTGGCTCATTGTATCCAACCATTTCTTCCTCATGATGAGATCATTCCAAGGGCTCTCTTGATCCTTGCCTCCAACAGACCCTTCTAGATCCATTCCTTCCTATCATTCCCAACAATATCTGAATCCTAGCATGACCCTAGTTAAGCCGTCAAACGGAGAACCTAGGAACAGATGGTTTGTATTTCTCCCTTAAAAAGGAAAAAAATATTCAGGAAGCAATAAAAGTAGGATTTTATAAAGAAAAAGAAGTGGGCTCTTTCTTTCCTAAATTAAGTTTTTTGATTAAAGTGAAGGCTGCATATACATTTAAAGCTTTGGTGAAAAATGCAAACATCATGACTCAATTGCATTTTCACTATGCCTCATGCCCTTCTCTTTAGGCCATTCAACCAGGGACCTACCATCCCTAGTTAGTCAATTACTTCTCAGAGCTGAAAACTTCAGTATGAATGGCTGATTCTGAATGAGGTTAAAAGAAGAATTTTAACCTGAAACTCTTGGAGCAACTCCTGTATACTTCTGATGATATTGCATACCAGTGTTTCAGAAATGTGCACATTAGCATTTTCTGAGAAAATTAAAAAGCTTTTAGCATATCCTCACAATTTTATATGCTCTCTAAAGGTTGAAAACCTTTGGTTTGGAACAAATGTCTTAAGGAAAGGTAACAGAATAGTCCCAGATCCTTCTGTGCAGAACTGAGCTCATGCTCCCAAACATGTGACATTATTTGCAGCCTCTTAAATTTGAATCTCACATCCTGGGTATAAATCTGTGTTTACACTTTAGATCTTCATGTACTTGTAACTTTGGCTCTCTCCTATAATCTGGAATATGATCAAACATGAACAGTCTTTCACACTTCAGAGGTGAGCCAATTGGAAAAGTCATTGGTCCAATGTGCTCCATTATAAAAGACTGGACAGACAAATAGAGTTGTGCATCCAAGATACCAAAGAGACTATACTTCAAGATACCAGAGACTAAACCTCTAGATCAGGTTTACAGGACTGGCCTGAGTCTTGGGCATTCAAGTAGCTATCAGACCCAATGTTCCATGTAAGTCCAAAACAGTCGTCAGTTCAAATATTTTTAAAATTCCTACTATGTGCAAGGCATTGTAATAAGCTGGGAATCCAACACTGAATAAGGCAAGGTCTTTGCTTTTTGTAGAGATTAAATTCTACTTCAGAAGATGTTATTACATAACTATTCATCATTATAATTGTGAGAAATGGCACCATTCCACAACAGACTATGGGCATACAACCTAGTTTTCAGGAATAAAGGTGAAAGGAAAGCCTTTTATTGGGAAGTCACCCATTTAACAAAAAACAAGCTGTAAGACAAGTTTGGATATCATCCTTACAGGTCATTCCCTGGGACAGGAGAAGGTCAGAGACAGGATGTGGGGGGGAAAGGGGATGGAGGATGGGGAGGGGGAGGAAATAGGGGACGGGGATGGGGGTAGGAATGGGAAAAAACTTAACATCCATGCTTGTCTTCCCTCCAAATGGTCTCTGCACCGTAAAGATCCGGATAGGAAAGAGTTTCAGCTTTTCAGGCCATTAGGGTCTCTGTGCTAACTACTCATTTCTGCCATTGTAGCACAAAAACAGCTGGACAAAAAGAAATTGAATGTGACTGTTCCAGAAATGGCTGATGCCTTCTTACACTGAGGGTGGGTGGTTCCCATCTAGTCCACTAAACTCACTCTGGGAGCACCCTCACTGACTCCTCAAAATAATGTTTTGTCAAGTTTCTAGATAATCACTGTTCTAACAGGATACAACCATATGTAATCCAAAATGTATTTATCCACCCCTAAAGTTTGTCTTTCTACCCTTGTGTACCTTTCTTGCATGGCCCCATTCTCACTATTTCAACTTTCAAGATTTCAACATTTGGGATCAATCTTTTTTTTTTTTCTTTTAGTGTGTCATGGGGCTTGAACTCTGGGCCTGGGCACTGCTGCTCAGCTCTTCAGCTCAAGGCTAGCCCTCTACCACTTGAGCCACAGCGCCTCTTCTGGTATTCTGGTGGTTAATTGGAGATAAAAGTCTCATGGACTTTCCTGCCCAGGCTGGCTTTGAACTGCAATCCTCAGATCTCAGCCTCCTGAGTCGCTAGAATTACAGGCATGTACCATGGGCGCCCAGCTGGGATCAATCTTTTCACATTGTGATTTAGGGGATTTTAGACTTTGGAGATTTTTGACCTTTCCAAATTTTGGTATTTGGAGATTGTGTTCAGGATTTTATTATCTACAACAGATCCAATAAAACTTTATGACAAGATATTCTTCTTCTGATTTAAAAAAAATATCTTAAAACCATTCAACAACAATGGCAGTTGACTGACTTTGTTCACAGGCTGCATTCTGGGGATACCTGCTACACACCGCAGTTAGCCATCTTAATGAGACATCAGTTCACATTGCCCTGCTCAATCTTTTATAATTTTCCTTTGCCTTTGGGATAAAAAACCCAAATCCTTAATCTATAAGAACTTTGGAATCTGACTCCTTCACACATCTCCATCTCCACTGTGTATTTTCACTCAGTCTCTCTCATTCACCAATCAGGACGGTCCTGTGTATGTATATTATTCAAGTTCATCAAGTTCACCTTTAGAGCTCAGCTCACTGTTATCAATAGTAATAACACTCCAAACCCAAAATAAGGAGTTTGCATAAGATTCCAAATGACAGAGAAATGGATAAGGGAACATTATACAGCCATTTTGTAATTGTAGATTAATGAGAAAACAATGTAAAGATGGTTAAAGAAAACACATTATGGTAATCTGTATTATATTAACTTGAAATATACACATATGCAGTTGGAAAAATAGTACAAGGAAATGCACCAAACTTAAAAAAATGGTAGTCTCTAGTAGTATGATTGAGTACTCTTTTTTTAATCTGTATCTAAAAATATATATATATATATATCAAATATGTATTAAAAACCTATTATAAAATATCAAGTTAAAGACTTGGAATCTTGATCTGGAATCTCGGGTGAATATACTAAAAACTTTTACAATGCTTTTAGCTGAGGTGAGATTTTCACAGCCTAATCAAATTCAAAAGCAATTTTGCCAAATATTCATTTCTTAAAATCCCTCAGGAGTATATAATTTATTGGTTAAACGTGTTTACTTCCTGGATTTTAATATTAGTTGCAGCACTTTAAAAAAGAGGCTCTTTTTCACATAAATAACAGGAATCAAATGAGTTAATTTTTTTCCAAGTTAAAAACGAATCCCATATACGATGACTTAAAAACCAATAACTAATCCCTATCACGCTTAGTGTAGCTTGTCAATGGTAAAAACAATCACCTGGACAGAAGGTAGAAAACCATATATGGGAGCTGGGCGCCGGCGGCTCACGCCTGTAATCCTAGCTACTCAGGAGTCTGATAGCTGAGGATCACAGTTCAAAGCCAGTCCAGCCTGGAAAGTCCATGAGACTCTTATGTCCAATAAACCACTCAGTAAACCGGAAGTGGCGCTGTTGTTCAAGTGATAGAGCACTAGCCTTGAGCTGAAGAGCTGAGGGGCACCAAAAAAAGAAAAGAAAAAGAAAGAAAGAAAGAAAGAGAAAGGAAGGAAGGAAGAGAAAAGAAGGAAGGAAAGTAAGAAGGAAGGAACGAAAGAAGGAAGGAAAGAAGGAAAGAAAGAAAAAGAAAGAAATGAAAGAAAGACATACGGAAAGAAATCCTAACTATTGAGCACCTTTCTAGATCAGTGGGACAACGAATAACCCTGAAATTTCCATCAGAATTACATAAAGATGTCTGACTTTGAACGAGGTTTGGCTTTTACTGAATATCAAGAATGAAATCATTTAACACAGCACACAAAGTTCCAAACTAAAAACCAAAAGGCAGAGCCAATTCTTCCCGAAACGTGTTGGTTCTCTACCCTTTCTTGGAAACTCAGCCTCACACCGTTGCTAGGACTTGAGCCACTCTGCCTGCTTCCAAATCCGTCTGGAAGCGCCGACGGTCACTGCTCCGCACTTCTTCCAGGAGATGGAAACACTGAGTGCCTTCACTGGAAGCCTTTGGCAAAAGAGCATCTACTCAGGTGTTCAGGCGTCAGCTCCGCCCAGGGCGGTACCTGGACGCTCTCCGCCACGCCCCTTTTCGCTCGCCCCTCCCATCCGTCCCCGCCCCTTTCGCCAGGCCCCGCCAGGCCCGCGAGCCTTCCGTTTCTCTAGCCCCTCTCCTCAGGCCCCGCCCCTCCCCTGTGCATTCTGTTGGTTTCTCCTTCCAGAACGTGACGAGCCCCTCTCCTTGAGGGGAGGAGTTAATAATTGCGCACGCTCAGGTCGCCCGGGATTCCCGAGTCAGAAAAATGACAGCATGAGACAAGCTGTAGGGCGCGGCGAGCGGCGGGCACCTTACCGGAAGCGGAAGACGGGGGGGCGGGCCAAGGGAGATCGGAAGTCCGCGGCGGTTAATTCCATTTACAGTGCGTCTTGTCTTCTCTCCATCTGTGTTTTACTGAGACTGCGAGAAATGGTCAGGTCCGGATCTCGACCGGGCCAGGTGAGGGCTGCGGACCTGAAAAGTCTACCGTGGGGGTGGGGGAGGTGAGAGGCTGGAGTTGGTTTGCGGGCCGGGGACGCGAGAAGTTGGCGGTGCGGAGGCCATAAGAACGCGTGGGCCTCCCGCCTCGCGCGGCTGCCCGTGGGCCGCTGTGGGCCGCGGGTCGGTCGTCGTGGACCTCCAGGACGCTGTAGGCGTCGGTCGCCGTGGTTCCCCAGTGTCACGCCTGGTTCCAGGCCGGCCTCACCCCTGGCTGGTGACAGTCTCCTAGCCGGAGAATGTCCCCGCGTCTCTGCCAGCCTCTCTTGGCCCTTCCCGGGGCGGCTCTTTTTTAAATCGTGATGCAAGTCTTCCAATTACTTGGGAGACTTGTCACAGCAAAGTTTTATAGTTTGCAGCTAACAGCCCTTGAACCAAATAATTATGCTTTTAATCCTAAATATGGAAAAGACATTTTTCACTATCTAGAAAGGGTGGCTCCAAGTCTGTTGGTTTAATGGTGAAAGAAAGCCAAATATGTTACTTCGGCACAAGGAAACAAAACCATTAAGATTTGTTGACTATAAATACAGGAAAATTCAGAAATTAAAAACCCACAAGATCAAAAATTGCAATTATCCAGGCATTTTAGCCAAGTTAAAAAAAAAAGGCACATGAACAAAGTATAGAAAGCCCTCATAACAAAGACTGCATCTAGTCTTTAGATCTTGTTTGCTAAAGACTATTGTCCATTAAAGGAACCAAAGCAGGTTCACACCTGTAATCCTAGCTACTCAGGAGGCTGAGATCTGAGGATTACAGTTCAAAGGCAGCCAGAGCAGGAAAGTCCATTGAATAAACCACTCAAGTGGTAGAGTACTAGCCTTGAGCTGAAGGGCTGAGGGACAGTGTTCAGGCCCAGAGTTCAAGTCCTGCCCTCCCCCCCCCCACACACACCAAGGGACAATAGCTTCTGAAGGAATGGCCAACCATAAGTCCAAGGCAGAAGTGTTTTGTGTGCCCATATACAACATCCATATATATATATATATATACAACATACTATATACACACAACATATATATATATATACATATATATATATATATATATATATATATATATTTCCAAGTCACATATCTGGAAAAGAGTTAATATCCAAAATACCACCCAAAAGCATACAAATAAAAAGAATCAAATAATGAACAAATGAATACACCTTTCTTCAAAGATGTATACTTAGCCTACAGGTATATGAAAAGATGCCCAACCTTACTGATAATCAGGAAAATCCAAATTACAACCACAGTGAGATATTACCTAACAAAAGATGTTGTAAGGATATTGAGAAATTGAACCCTTTAGGTGGGAATATAAAAAGCATAGTTGCTGTGGTACTTACGGCCTTCAGCTTACTGGACAAGCACTCCACAAGCCATGCCTTTAGCACTTAAGACAACTGCTATGGAAAAGAGTTTGAGATTTCCTCAAGTTAAAAGTGACAGGGACAGAAGGGAAAAACTGGGAAAGAAAGAAGAAAGGGTGACTGACATTGCCCAAAAAGCAATGTACTGAGTACATGAGTACCTGACTTATGAAACAGTAACCCCTCTGAACATCACCTTTATAATAACAATTTCTAAAAAGTTAAAAGTGAGCCAGGTATTGCAATATACATCTATAGCCCCAGAACTTAGGAGGCTGAGGCAAGAGAAGTGTAAGTTTGAGACCATTGGGCAAATGTAATACCTTGGTTCAAAAAATAAACAAAAACTTAAAAGTGGTATTCATCTGATTCAATCAACTCCACTTCTGGGTATTTGTTCAAAAGATCACCTGGCAGATACCGTGGTTTTTTTTTTTGTTTTTTTTTTTTTTGGTTGGTCGTTGGGCTTGAACTCTGGGCCTGGGTGCTATCCCTGAATTCTTCAGCTCAAGGCGAGTGCTGTAACGATTGAGCCACACAGCTCCACTTCCGTTTTTCAGAAGGTTTATTGGAGATAAAAGTCTCACGGACTTTTCTGCCCAGGCTGGTTTTGAACTGTGATCCTCAGATCTCAGCCTCCTGAGTAGCTAGGATTACAGGCTTGAACCACCGGCACCTGGCTGCAGATACCATCTTAATATCAGTTTACATCACCAGTTACAGGACAAGCTGACATTTGTCTATGTATACTGTATTGAGAATGACACATCCATTTCTACCAGAAATACATAACCTGAGTTTCATCAGAAGGAAACATCAGACACATCTAAATGTCCAGAGGAACATTTTGCAAATTATCTGGCTCTTTAAATATGTCAAGGTTATTATAAGGGCAGTGAGCAGCAGCTCAAGGAACTATTGCAGATCAAAAGATACTAAAGAGACTTAAGAGCTATGAGAGTTTATTACAGTTTGTGAGCATGGACCACTTTTTGCCTATGAAGGACAGTATTGGGAAACTGCAACATGTGAATAAGGTCTCTAAGTTATAAAAGTAAATATTGATTTCCTGATTTTGATAGTTATAGTAAAGAATAGTGTTTAGGGATGTTTTGTCTCTAACTTAACTTTGTAATGGCCAGATCCCCACTTCCCGCTCCCCCCAAAAAACCTACACTATTTTGTGTATTCAGAGAAAATATGGCAAATGTAAAATGTCTAGAATTGTGGACTCTGTCTGAAGCATATATAGGAAATCCTTTGTACTAGTACTTCAAAATAAAAAATAGCCCTCAAAATAGAAGTAAATTGTTTCAGAGTGCTTTTATCAAGGGTTTGGTTTTTCTTTTCTTTTCTTTTTTTTTACCAAATGGAGAGAGGGAGGGAGAGAGAAACCATTATCTTACAATTAGGCTATATATTTTTCTTAGATAATGTATTTCTTTTTTTCCTAGTACTACCTCATGAGTCATGATTACCACCCCTTGTTGTTCTGGTTATTTTTGACATAGGGTCTTGCTTTTTGCTTGGGCTGGCCTGGACTGTGATCCTCTGTGCTTTTCTGTATAGCTTGGATAACAAATACTTACCACTGCCCAACTATTGACTGAGATGACCTTTTGCAAACTTTTAGCTTGGGTTGACTTTGAACTATGATATTTCCAATCTCCTGAGTAGTTAGGATTACAGGTGTAAGCCACCAGTATCTGGCCTTTTTCTTTTTCTTTTAAAAGACAACTATCTATTGAAAGGTTTTGTTTTGGGGACTTGATCTTATGCTGTACCTTACATTTTTATTTTGATTCCAGCCAGGACATAAACATAGATATAACAAAAGGAAAGACTCTGAAAATGTGATGCAGAGATTAATGGAGCCTTATTTCCTAAAAAGTTAATTCTTACTGCTGGCTTTATGATGCTTCATATCTCAAATTGTTTCACAAAACATAACTCTTCCCAACTCAGCTTTAATTACAGGCTTATGCCTGTAATCCTAGCTACTCAGAAGACTGAGATCTGAGAATTATAGTTCAAAGCCAGCTTGGGCAGTAAAGTCCATGAGACTCTTATCTACAGTTAACCACCAAAAAGCTGAAAGTGGAGTTGTGGCTCAAGTGGTAGAGCAATAGCCTTGAGCACAAAGTTTAGGAACTGCACCTGAATTCAAGGATTGGCGCGCATGCACACACACACACACATACACACACACACACACACACACATACACACACACAAATATATTGTAGCATTTCTAGAAGGGCAAGTACATATGTAAACAAATAGAGTATCATATAACTTCAGGAAGTTTGGTAGTTATTACTTAAAGCTGTATTGTGAGAAAATATGTAGACATGACAAAATATGAATGAAACTGAGACAGTGACTATGTATAGAGATGGAAGGATAAGGGACTTTGAAATCTCAAAATTACAGTTTGGTGATTGTATTTATTGGATACAAAATTATTACAATATTAAAAGCTATACCATAGAAAGTCTGTTATTGCTCTGTCTACTAGATACTCTAGTTTCCATTCCCACAGATGACTATAACTATTTCTAATATTCCAAGATATAAGTTAAATGTAAAGGAAACACATATGTTTTCCTTTTTAATACATAAAAGATAGCCAACTTATGTTAAAGTCAGCCTTTCTTATTAAAAAAAAAAAAGACAAAAGACCATTGCTTGTTTTGGGACTTAAACTCAGGTCCTGGGCACTGTCTCTGAGCTTTTTGCTCAAGGCTAGCATTCTACCACTAGGTCCACAGCTCTACTTCCAACTTTTTGGTGGTTAATTAGCTATGTCTCATGGACTTTCCTACCTGGGCTGACTTCAAACTGATCCTCAGATCTCAGCCCCCTGAGTAGCTGGGATTTCAGGCCACCTGTGCCTTGCTTACAACATTGCTATATGAGATCCCCTCCAGTACTCTGGTTTGAACTCAGTTCCTTGCTCTCTAGGCAGGTCCTTTACTGTGAGCCACACCTCTAGCCCTTTTTCTGCACTAGTTATTTTTGAGCTTCTTGCCAGGGTGTGCATTGGACTGTAATTCCCCTATTATAAAAAGAGGAGATTGCTTCTGATCATAGCTAGCATGACAGTCACGAAATACCTGTGTTCCTTGCTTTCTGTTTCACATAGGACATATTTATTGCATAAAGGTTGAGTTGTAATTTTGGATTTTTTAGGATATATCGTAAACAATAAATGACATGCTATATACATACAATTGAATTTTATTCAACCTTACAAAGAGAAGTTTTGATACATGTTACATTGATGAAGCTTGAAGACATGCTAGTCACAGAAAGACAAAAACTATTTGTATGAGGACTATATAATAGTCAAATTGGTAGAAACAGAATAGTTATTGGCAGTGTGGAGAGAGGATGGAAGGTTACTGTTTGATAGATACACTGTTCTAGTTTGGGAAGGTGGGGGAAAAATAGGAATGACATTTCAAGGTTTGTCAAGATGGCACTTGAAATTATAGCAAGCTGATATTTAGATCCACTGTAATATATTGTATTATAGGTGTTATCTTCAGGAAGGCCCCCTGGATCTGCCAGAATAACACATGGAAAAAAAGGGTAAGTACTTCAAGAAGATTATAATGTTAGGAAAACTCAAGAAATGTTAGATCTTTGGGCTGGATTACATTTTGCCTACCCCAGAAACTTAGATGGGCCTCTGCCTTCACAAGTTCTGGGGAGTAACTTTTTGTATATACCTATAATCAGTCATTTTAGTGGTTAGCCATCTTTCTGTTTTCATACTATCCTAACCATTCTAAATATACTTAAATCATCTTGTTTTTCTCTAACTTTTACTGAAATGACAATGACTGCTTACTAACATGTAGAGAAAAAAAGGCTGTGTTACTTAAGAATATTCATCTTGTTTTCTAGAACCCATTTAAGAAAAGTATCATGCCTTAATGCAGATTCTGGCTGTCCTGGTCCTGATTTAGGAAAACAGGTAAGATTAAACTGAATAGGTAGAATACACACTATTTTAGTTTTCAGGTGAAAACTAAGTAGAAACAATACTAAGGTAAAATATCAGTTGCCCTAAGGAAGTAGAAAGTCTATTGTTTTAAGTGTTTATCAATACTAAATTATTTACAAATAATATAATTAAACTTGGTAATATCTATGTTTTCCTTGCATTACCATTTTACATACAAATGTATTCTAATTGATGTTTTCGTCACAGACTAGACCTGTACAGGGACTTGATGGTTGTGCTTCTTTGCTGCGGGACATTTTGAACAATGAAGATTCAGGTCTTGTGTTTTAAAATGTTTCTTTGGTCACCTTTTCTCAGTGAAATAGTTCTTTCAAATGTTACTAAATTTTTATTTTCATTATTATAGGTTCAGAAGTAGTATATTCAGAAAACAAATCTAATTCAAGACTTTTAGAAAGCAAAAAATGTGATTCTAAACAGAAAAGACGTGAAAAACATATTGTTCCTTCGGTAGTTCGGAAAGAAATATGTAAGCATTTTTCTTGTTTATTTAAACGTAATCCTTAATTCTGGAGATGTTGATAAATTGTCAGAATTATTATGTTGTCTTTCATTTTAAATCTTTTTATTTTAGTTGTATGTATGCTTTGCTTTCATTATTCAGCGTCTGATTACTTAGCAGTCATTTGGCTTATACTGTCATTTTCCTAAGAAGAAAAGTAAAAGATATTTTTATCTGTGTTTGCCACAGAAAAGGTTCAAACTCAGAATGACATTGAAAAAAGCCCTACTAAGGCCAGAAGTAATTGTTACTTATTTCAAATCAAAGCAGACTTCCAGTAGCTCTTTTCTACACTATCCACATTTGCTTTTTGTATGGCAGCACTTATGTGTCAAATGATGCTTATACATCCACTCAATAGTCACTGCTTATATGCCATCCAGAATTCATAGGCTAGAAAGGTTTCATGGACCGACTGAGTAAATGAATGCATCCTTTTCATGAATTCTAGTCAATTAAGACCTAATGAAACATTTTGTGATCTTGATCTGTTAGGTAAAAGTTTCATGGAAGGTGCTTTGGTGTCATTAATAAAAAAAAGAAAAAATATTTAATTCATGTGAGTTATGTGGGTGGATGGACAGACACATTCAGTTGGTGGGTGGTGTGTGTGTGTGTGTGTTAAAACGTAGTAGTAGTAACATAAATGCAGTCTTTCTTTTATGTCTGTTTATGGTTTTTCAATTTGTCTTGGATTATTTAAGACTTTATACCTGTAGTAGAAAATTCAACATCAGTAGAGTTACATGTGAACTAAGTTTACAAAGGAGTTTAGGGTTTGTTTTTTTTTTTTTAATTCGGAGGCTTTGATTTTTAAGAAATATTATTAAAGAGTTTATTATTTTATATTGGATTATGACATCTGCTGACAGAGATATAATACAATACATAACTCATTTTGATGAGATACCATAAAAACTATTACTTGGAAAGAAGGTGAATGAGAACCACTGCCTGGGACTGTGAGTATGAAATTAGAGAATTCCTTGAATTAGACTGTTCTTATCTAAGGGACCAAAGGAAATCCAAGAATGGAAGAGAGATCTAAGAACCGGGCTAGCAATATGCTGACAGCAAAAAGATATGATTTGCCCCTCCACTCTTAAGTTTCACAGTTACAATATTTTACAGGTACTTTTCCATTTGATTTATTTTAAAATTATTTTTCCAATAAGAATGAATACTTACCAAAATTTATTGACCAGTTTTGTTGTAGCTCATCTATATCCATTAAGATAGTAAAAGTAGTTATATTTGCTTTGGGTTTTAATTACTTTTGGGAAACATATTTGGAGCTATATTGTCAAATAGCATGATTTATGAATATAAAATATTTTTCTACCCTGAATCTGCAACTATTTGGTGATCAATGTGTTGAGTTTTTACGATGTGCTGCACGTTACATAGTAACTTTGAAATATTATTTTACTGTGCAGCAATCTTCTGAAGTAGGTATTCTTTTATATTTCATTTTACTTTATCTTCATATTTAATAACAAGATAAGGTTACATTAGAATAGAAAAAGGCAGTTGAGTACAGTATTATTCTTCAACTGAGAAGAGTTCTATCAGATATACAGTTCCCAGACATACTGTTAAGTTCTTGACATCCTTAATTAACCTGACAAGGAAATTGAAGGAGCCAGCAGGGTACCTCAATGTAAGAGAACTCTTGATAATATTCAAAAAGCTCCTTCTATTTTTTGTTGTTGTTGTTGTTGTTGATCGTGGGGCCTGAACTCTGGGCTGGGCACTGTCCCTCAGCTCTTCAGTTCAAGGCTAGCACTCTACCACTTGAGCCACAGAGCCATTTCCAGCTTTTTTTCTGCTTATATGGTGCTGAGGAAGCGAACCCAGGGCCTCATGCATGTGAGGCAAGCACTCTACCACTGAGCCACCTTCCCAGCCCTCCTTCCACTCTTAAAATCAAGGAACAAATCAACCTAGCCCAGAGGTTTCTCTCTCTAGTGAGGAAACATTAGAGAAGTGATCAAGAGACATAATAATTATCCTGCTTCTTATAAGATGGAATATGCCCTCCTATTCAATCAGTTTGGATTCTTCCTTATCCTGGAATCGCTAAAGACTCATGGAGCTCAGTCCCAAAGAGTTGTTCATATCCAACTTACAGTAATGTTTCCTTGAGGTGAAGCCCTGAGTCCCCCATACAGCAAAATAATTTTTATCTGTGAGAATTCAGAGATGCATCTGTGGTCATATCTATAAACAGCATCCTCAAATAGCATGATTTTGTGATTCCTTGTTGCATTATTGACAGAAACTTCTATAATGATCTTTCCTTTAAGAGTTTTCCTGATACTCTTAGTGGCTATGATCCTAGTGCTTCTGAGAGTTAGAGGAGAACAGAGAACGTGCTTATCTTCTTCATAGATCTTCAGTGTCTCCTTTTGATTTGCACACATGTTCCTCAGAGCTCAGGCATCACCTCAGACTGGCTTTTCTGGTAACAGACATCAAATTCTGTAGAGTATTGGTTCTAATGTTTCTGCTGTGATGTTCCCTACATAGTGGGCTACAGACAGGAGTTTGGGCTTCTTCCCAACATAGAGACAGAGCCTGTAAAAGCTGTGTCCACAGCCTGTGGTGACTGGGTTTATAAGGTAGTCTAGACAGACAGAGCAAATGGGTTCTTTTTGGATGACTTATGGGTATGTCTGTGATCTCAGAAATATCTGCACAGAAGTAACAGTATGAAGTCAGCTTAGAGATCAGGCCTCTCCTTTTGGCAGTGGCAGATTTTAGAAATCTCCTAGCCAGCTGTGAAATCACTGTGCTCTGGAGAAATGATAGTCTTTTTATTTATCACCATTTTTTTTCTAGTGAAAGAGATTAAGATGAAAATTTGCTCAAGGTTACTCAGCTAGCACACATCTTTTAAGAGACATAAGCATTCATTTCTATTAGGCATATACATGGGAGTGACATAGATTACCAGTATGCTTGGCTTCAGTAGATACTATATAATATATATATATATATATATATATATACTTTATATATAAATAGAAAAGTATATAGTATATATATACTATAAGTATATATATATAAAGTATATATATAATAAGTATATATATATACTTATTATAAGTATATATATAATAAATAGAAAAGTATATGGTATTTATACATATACTTATAGTATATATATATATACTTATAGTATATATATATATATATATACTATATACTTTTCTAGTTATTATATACTCTAATGACCTATGATCTGCCAGGGCACTCATTTTTTGTTATAGTGTTGAGCCTTCATTTAGAGAAGAAATCTTATTAGGCAGGGAAATCAAATTTGTATTTTTATTCTAATATATATTTT